CCAAACAGTAAATATTTGATGATCTATGGCACATACTCAACTCTGCCATGACAATGGGTCAGCAAGTGACTCCTCTCACCATCCTGACCGTTATAATCCAGTGTCTAAGATGAATCCTTTAAACTCTGTGCCCCAGATACGACCTGACCATGGTGGGGTAGGACATTATTACTTACCCTGGCTAGCAAGATTTAAAATATTTAAAAAGTAATGATGCCCATTTTTACATGTGTTGTTCATTCTCTTCACCTTACATGTGTTCAATTAGTGGGGTTTGTGTTGAATCAATGTACACAATCTTACAAGTAGCATAACTCAGTTTTTGGATACATTGCATTGAAGCAGAGTGGATTTAGATTCTCTTCTTTCTTTATTCCCAATGTCCTCATGCACCTATTTGTTACCCCCTCGGAGCCTCTATTTCCTGATTAATAAAATGAGATAATGACACCTCTCCTGCAGAGTTATTAGAAAGATGAAATGAGATGCTGGATGTGAACGCTTCTAGAGCAGTAGGCAACACATTCAATAAATGTTCACTCTGTTCACTCCCTCCTTTCCTTCTCTACCTCAGTTCTCCAACCTATTGGATCAGGATGTCTTTTCCATTATTAAAGAGATTGATAAAAGTGGCACCCAAGTCAGGGACACCCGCAGCCCTGTAATACACCACCAGACCCCTCCCCCGAAAATTAAAAACAGATCTCTTAATACCCTGTAAAAATGATTTGTCAACCACTTACAACTGCACCTGAGTATCGATGATCACAGCCCATATTTCCTCCATTCAGCAAAAACAATGAGCAATTACTGAGTGTCCAGTTTGTGTCAGACATGGTGCTAGGCATCTGCTACAAACATGAACTAGACATGGTCCCGGTCCACCAAGCAACCTACAGCGTGGTTGGGGAAGGAAAGATAGCAAGCAAACAGATGTTCCCAATTTTCACTATTGCAGAATCTCCCAGGTACATAGGCAACAGGTTGCCTGAGCCAGTTATTAAAAGGTAAATAGAAATTAGGGTGAAGGTGGGATGGGAGCACACTCCAGGCCAAGAGCGTGCAATGCATTGTTGTGCGTGACCAAGGAGTAAATTGTATGGGGACAGAGGCTGGGTTCATAATATGGGTCAAATTTTGTGAGGCATTGCATGACTGCTTCTGGGTTTTTACTTTCCTTCAGCAGTGAGACCTTTCACTTAGAAAGAACACAACACCTTCTAAGTGATAACTCCAGTGTATAAAACCGGCATTGCTAAGACTGACGTTCAGCTGTGTGTTCTCCTTCCTGCCCACAACCAGGTTGGAGGCCAAGTGCTTTAAGGGGATACATTGAGTTCCTTGCCTTGAATAGTATAGCTCATGACGTGTTCACTGGATTTTCTGTTTGTCGCCCTTGAAGCAGTGGTTGGAGATAGGGCAGGCAGAGTTGTAACGGCGAGACTAGATCTGAGTTTTAGAAAGTCGCTCTGACAGAGGTGTGGAAACTAGACTGAAACTGGGAGTGTTTTTGAAACCACTTGGAAAGCCATTTCTATAAATAACAAGTGAGGGTCTACATAAGGGCATGGCCAGTGGATAATTTAACCAATAGTAAGTGGCAAAATTTGGAGTCAGATTTATATCCTAACTCCTGAATCTGAGGTCGCTAATCACCTCCCAACCTCCTCCTCGGCCAACCCATCGCTCACATCTGTCTTTTCTTGCTCTCCTGTGCTTCTCCAGAGTTACCAGCTAGACGAGCTCATCTGGGTGTTTGTCCTCCTTCCCCTCAGAGTTGGCAGTCACTGGGTATTTATGAATAGAATATTTAAAAACCCTTGTGGTGGATTCACCTAGCTTCCTAGAAAACACCTTTTCACCCTTATGGGAAAGTAGACATTCTTTTTTGTTTATTCCTTCTTTTTTTTCTAGAGATGAAGGGAGAGGGAGAGAAAGATAAAAAAACATCAAAGATGAGAGAGAATCATTGATCGGCTGCCTCCGCACACCCTCCACTACGGATCAGCCTGCAACCTGGGCACGTGCCCTCACAAGGAATCGAACCTTGACCTCCTGGTTCATAAGTCAACACTCAGCCACAGAGCCATGCTGGCCAGAAAGTAGACATTCTATCATGTGCTAGCTAGAGTCACACCTCAGAAAGATGACCTTATTGGCCAGGTGAAGTCCCAGCTAGGTCTATAGCACCCCCACAGGCAGTCCCTGATCGCTATGGCTGGTCCCCATTTCACAAAGCTAGTAGGTCACATGATACCTAGTACCTGCCTAAGCACCTGGGGGATCAGCCTTCCAATCCCATTCTACTCAGACTCACACTCCCTCGTGTCTTTGAGGGAAGACAAACCATAGTGCCCTGTTGACCACAGCTTTGTTTTTTGGTCTTCCTTTGCATAATATTTCTCCTTTCTCGGTCCTCTTGAGGCACTTTGGAACCCATTTGCCTTAAGGAATTCATACATTCTGGTTTCCAACTCTTTTTCCCACCAAACATAAATATCTATGGGCTGCTTTTGATCCCTCAGATCTAATATTCTCAGCTCTGTGCCTTTGTTGGAGCCATTGTTAATTAATTTATAACTTAGGGAGAGGAGAAGACAGGTGGGGCAAAACATGAGCCATGGAATTACATTTCTGCCTCCTCTGTCCCTGCTTCCTCTAATACCCAATGTAGAATCCCAAGCAGAATTGGGATGCAGTGCATGTGGTTGCCTGAACGAGGGGCGCCTTGTGAGGTGGGGCACTAGTGCTGCCAGTCAATCACCTTTCAGTCAACTGTTATATTTGTCACCCAGACACCATCTACCATGTTCTCCACCTTCCTGTGCTCATGACCATTTGTATTGAACTAGATGGAAAATGGACCACTTTACCTGCTCATCTTATATAATAAAAGGTTAATATGCAAATTGACCAAATGGTGGAACAACCAGTCCCTATGATGTGCACTGACCACCAGGGAGCAGGCGCTCAATGAGGAAGATGCCCCCTGGTGGTCAGTGCACTCCCACAGGGGGAGCGAAGCTCAGCCAGAAGCCAGGCTCATGGCTGGCAAGTGCAGCGGCCGTGACAGGAGCCACTCCCACCTTCACGGCAGCACTAAGGATGTCTGACTGCTGGCTTAGGATGTCCAAGAAGGCGCAGGCTGGGCTGGGGGACCTCCTCCCCTCCCTCCCCACCCAGTGCACAAACTTTGTGCACCGGGCCTCTAGTGTCTAATAAGATGCTGCATTTTTGTAAATATTTGATTTGATCTTAGTAGTTGAAGGGCTTTTTTTAGTTGATTGATTTCATTGCCTTGAATGTCAAAGCTCATAATGTGTTAACTAGATTTTCCATTTGTGTCACTGAAGAGTTATGTGAAAAATATAAAGAGCAAAACAGCGCTTTGGAAACAATGGAAGGAAGGAAGTTAATTGAATTTAAATTAGACATAGCAATAATTTAAAGCATAATTGAAAGTTTCAAAGGGGCCTATCATGCATTCATATGTCATGAGTTAGATTTTTCTTTTGTATAAAAATATTTTAATGTGAATTCATTGATATATAGTATAACCTCACACTCCATTATTTTATGAATATCAAACACTTTTGGATGGTAAATGTGTTGAATTTTCTACGTTTTAGAAATTCCTTAAAGATATAAATCCCATTTCCAATTAATCTGAAGAAGAATTATAAAATTCAGCTGTGTGTTTCTGGCCCATTATTCTTGCTGGGCTTCATTCAGAGTCTGTCATGAAAAGGATTCTAAATTGCTTTAGGAGCCTAAGATAGAGTCTATTAACCCCTTCCCCAATAATTTTTTTGTTAAAAATGTTTCTTTTTCAGACTAATTTTTTTATTTTGGTTCTATATAGTATTTTTGATGCTGGTTATGAAAACAGTTTGTAATTATTTTTTCTTCCCATTTTTGTGGTTAAGAATAGTATTTCCTCAGAAAGTTTCTAGATGAAATTATTTAGAATGGTACGTATGTAGCTGGTTTTTGAAGGTAAAGTTTTTAGACGAGTATACTCGTCGACGACTGAAAAAAGAACATTTTGTGAAAACGTGTATACACGTTTCTGCCGGGGAAGGGGTTAAAAAAATAACTACTTTTTTTTATGTTACGCATTTCTTAATTTTCCTACAATGGACTTATATGGGTTCTATTTATGAAGCAAATAATTTTTCATTAAAAATACATTTTATTTGAGTTGGCTCAATTTAAAAGGGAAAATCAAGAATGTCATCACCATTGCTACGTGGAAAACTGACCTGCAAAAAAACAAAAACAAAAAAAACAGACTGTGGTACTTGTGGCTGCTGATGGGAGAGAACTCTTTCTAAGTCATCCTTGACCACATCCACTCTGATGTTCATGAATGAGTTGCCAGCCCTGTGGTCCCACCTCTTCTCTGTCCCTGAATCTCTCCATGCATGAAGTTTCAAACATTCTGTCCCACACTCAGCCTCTACCAGTCACACTGTGGAGCTCTGAAAGCTAGAGCCTCATGCATTCTCTCTTCTCTGGACCTCTAGTTTCTCCACCAAATTAATCCTTTTACTCCTCCTATGAGACATGTCAGTGGCAAAGAAACTTTCCTTTGCCACTTGGAGGTATGGCTCTTAACCAGAAACACTTGTGGAATGAAATTTATTTTTCAATTTTGTGTTTTTATTTTTTTAATTGTAGATACACAGGACAAAAAAATTACATTTTAACCATTTTGAAGTGTATAGCTCAGTGGCATTAGGGGCATTCTCGTTGCTGTGCAAGTGTCACCACCATTCATCCATAGGGAATAAGGATTCCTACTCCTACCCCATGCTGCTGCCACCATCAGAGAAGTCTGCTGCCCTCAAATGTTTAACTACAAGATGAGAAATGAGACTTCAGCTGCCCTGGAGACCCTTTGTCTCTTAGGAACTGACCACTGAGTTTTAAGAAGGTTCTGATGCGTGTATAGACATTAGCCAGAGTGACTGTCTTCTTTCCTCCTTCTCTTTGAACAGCTCTGAGCAGCGGGTCCCCTGCCCCACTTCTTACCACAGCTCCAGTTTGCACTCTGGTGACGGTATCACAAAAGCAGGACCTCTGGGCCTTCCAGAAATAAGACAAGTGCCAACTGTTGTGATTGAATGTGATGACAATAAAGAAAATGTGCCTCATGAATCAGACTACGAAGACTCTTCCTGTCTCTACACCAGGGAAGAGGAGGAGGAGGAGGAAGACGAGGATGACGACAGCTCATTGTACACCAGTGCGTGCATCCAGCTTTTCACTGGGGATGGTGGGGGGGGGGGGGGCTTTATAGAAAGAGCGCTGACGAGCTGCCCAACACTGTGGTTCTAACTTGAGGTCTGGTGTCAGCCGGCCCTGGGTCACAGGGCAGCTCGATTAACCTCTTAGGGCCTCAGTGTTTTCATTAGTAAAATGAAAGCGTCAGTGTCCTCCGAACATCCCCATAGCTCTGAAAGTTACATCCTGCTGCACCTGCTACTTGTTAGATGGCTCTTCCTTGCTTTGACTGCTTCCCTTGGGATGGAGCCCCCTCCCTCAAAAAAGGGGTAGGAGCCCTAAAATTCAATTTGAATCTGCATAATACGCAGATGGACTCACCATTGTGTATGTAGCAAATTCGCTTTATGCAAACCTCAACAAAATTGAGAAGGCCTGAATTGAAATTTCTTACTAAGGGCCTCAAATGTGCTAAGAGAGAAGAGATGAAGAAAGCAAAGTTCCAAATCTGTCATTCTGGCCATGAGTAATCAATACATTTTAGTTAAGTGATTAGAAACTGATATTTGATTAACTTTTTAATAAATGAACTTATAGCAACTTTTCACTGAATATATACCATGCCTGGCCACGTGCTAAGATTTTTATTCTGTTATCTACATCTTACAACACGCGGTAGCGTGGACACTATTGCCCCGTTTTACAGAGAGGGGAAGAAAAGGGAGAGGCCAGTGACCTGCCCAGAGCCTCACATCTACTCAGGGGCAGTGATAGCGTTTGATACCACTGTCTCATTCCAAAGTCCATGTTGTAAAAACAGTGAGGAGGGGAGAGGACTAGCCTACAAGATAAAATCCAGAGTAATCCCCCACACTTGCTGCTGCCCAGTCTCCTCCTGCTGCTGGTAGGAGTCCTGGTGGCAATGACATGATCAAGGTGATGTCCAGGAGAGGAGCCCGAAGGGCGGCCAAAGGCCCAAATGACCCAGGGAGGAAGGAGCAGCTGCTCAGCCCCGGGCACTGTTTCCTGCCCAGAGAAGTGAATGCTTTACAGCAGCGTTTCTCAGCCTCGGCCCAGGTGACGTTTTGGACCAGATTAGACTGTTGTCCTGTGCACTGCGGGATGTTTAATAGCATCCCTGGCCTCTGCCCGCTGTATGCCAGAAGCGCCTCCCCCAAAACCCAGTTTGGCAATCAAAAGTGTCTCTAGACTTTGCCAAGTGTCCCCTGGGGAACAAAATCACCCTGGTTGAGAACCATAGATTTATTCCAGATGGAAGGCAGCCCTGCCCTGGCTGGCTGCTCAGAACTCCTTACATTGAAAGAAAAACTATCCCAGAATATTGCCTATTTTAATGAACTCACTTCCACTCCCACCCCAAACAGACCCCACTGTCTGCCCAGCTTTGTTTTCCTTCATGACCCCGGCTCCACAGTCACTGATCTCCTTTGTCTCTGTGACAACTTGGTTTATCTGTCACCTCTGAGCTTTCCCACATGCAGACATCCACCAACCTGCTGCCTGGGTGCATCTCACTTGTCCTGCGGGTGCCAGCCCCTCCTGCTCTGTGAAGCTCCCCGTGGTTACTAAAGGCCCCTGTCTTTCCTCCCCCTCCCCCCTTTGCTTCTATTACTCTCTAGTCTGCCCCTCCTTTATGGTGTTGCCTGAATACTGGCAGTCCCTGGAGAGCCAAGATCCAATCACAGGCTCCTGTGCCGCTCACATACTCAGCACTGCAAGGCGTACCCAGCATGTTGCTTGCAGGAACTCTATGGAAGGGTCCTTTGGGGCCTTACCCACTCTTGGGTGTGAAGCCACTGTCTTCCTGCCTTTTACCTTGACCCACAGTTGTTCCTGTGGGAGCCCGGGCAGGTGTGTGTCAGCGTTATTGACTCGTTTCCCCTCCTGCAGGCTCCCTGGCCATGAAGGTGTGCCGGAAGGACTCCTTAGCCATCAAACTCAGCAACAGGCCCTCCAAGCGAGAGCTAGAAGAAAAGAACATCCTTCCCAGGCAGACGGACGAAGAGAGGCTGGAGCTGAGGCAGCAGATCGGCACCAAGCTCACCAGGTAGGACAGCAGGACCACCAGCTCTGCAGATTTAGGTAGAAGACGTCAGTCTCCATCCCCAAACCAGTCCCGGGCGTCTCTTGGAGAGCTTACAGCAGAGAGTCCATGGAAAACATTCCATTTCTTCTCAGTCCCTTCCCCTTCACTCATTCAAATCTGGGAAATTTCACTTGAGGTTCAGGGAGAACCTGAGAGGCAAAGTTCCCAGACAAGAACCTCCTGTAAAAAAATCGCCACCGTCGAGTGGAATTGAGGGCCTGTGTACCATTGGTGTTTGGTTAAGCACAGAGCAATCTAATAAATGCACTTTCTCCTATACTGTGCAACCAGAAGATATCAGTGGCTGTTACGGATGCCTCGTCACTAAGCTGTGAGTTTTGAGTTATTGCCCTTTGTGTACATTACAGACATGAACATAGAGTGGGTTATATTAACATACTAAACACCTGGATGTATTTGTAATCTAGAGCATGTTTATATGGTATTAGCTTATGTAGTGGAGCACTGATTATTTGCCAGGTATTCTTCTAAACATTTAACATGCATTAAATTACTTAATCTTTGAGGTTCCTTATGGAATGGACATTTTGTGCCCACTTTACAGATAAGAACACCAGGTATAGAGAACTTTAGTTTCCTGCATGATGTCACATAGACTGGCTGCAGAATGCTTCCTCTCGCGACCATATTGCACTGCCTCTGTAATAATAGTCATCACGAGCCCCACCTTATCCCAGGCACTGTGCTAAGTGTTTGGGTGCAACATGTAGATATCTCTTAGGTTTCATCCTCCTCTCCCTCTTCCTAGCTGTGCAGCCTTGAGTAACTACTTATTCTCTCTGCTTGTGTTTCTGTATTTGTAAAATGTGCAGTTGTAAGAATTAAGCAATATAAGCAAAGCATTTAAAATAGTCCCTGGCCCATAGTAAACATTCAGTTATCTGTTATGTCATTTTCTTCTCCCCACAACCCCATTGGTAGCTTTCATTATCACCTTCACCAGGACAACTGAGGCAGCTGGTACCCGAAGAGGTTACGGGGGCACAGATGCCATGCACTGGGGCTGCTGGGGTTCTTCCCTCCCCCTGATTTATTTTCTTACTTAAGGACAGTTTCCCATCATTAACTTGGTTTCCTCCTGGAGGATGTTGTTTCAATCTTACAGAGCTGTATAACATAGTTAACACTGATGGATGATTTGTCCTTGAATTCTGCAGTCTTTAGAATCATGGGATGAAAATATCTACCCACCTACTCCCTGCCGCCTTCCCCATTGGTCAGTGAACATGGTGCACATCCACCAGCTGGCCATCCAATCTCTCTTCATTCCTCAGTCATAGTTACTCCCAGCCCTCTGGAGGGCCGGTGCCATTGTTGCAGAGCCTTATTATTAAACATTCTTCCTTCTGTTGACCTGAACTCTCTATCCATGCATCTCCCACCCATGGATCTTCTTCTCTTTTCTGAAGCTACTCAAAGCTTCATACCTCTTGACAGGCATGTATTAGGGAACTGGAGACAATGGTCTGGCATCCCAAGTCTCCTCGCCTCGGCTGCAGATGGCCAGGTTTCTCTCTGAAGGTGGGTGGGGTGGGTGGATACAGTGCTTGGCTGATTCCTGACCAGCCTTTCAGTTTTATACCGAATATAAATAGGGCTGTTTGGGGGCGGGGGATGAGGAGTGCAGAAAAAAGAGAAGGAGCATGTCCTTGATCTCAGCCCTACTTCTCATAGTTCAGTTCCACCACTTGAGTGTGGACATCCTTCATGTGCTCTCGGGTTTCCCTTCCCCAGCTTTGCTGCAGTGCCTTTTATTCCCCCCAAAGTGATATTTACTCCACATGACTCCGTTTTATTTATTTGAAATCCCATTTACCACCACCCCTAAAAATTTCATCATTTAAAAATTAGACCTGGAGCCCTAGTCTGTTTGGCTCAGTTGATAGAGCATCTGCCTGCAAACTGAAAGGCCCCGGGTTCAATTTCGGTCAAGGGCACATGCCTCGGTTGCGGGCTCCTCCCCAGCCCAAACCCTGGTTGGGGCGCGTGCAGGAGGCAACCAATTGATGTGTTTCGCTCATCAATATTTCTCTCTGTCTTTCCCTCTCTTTTCCACTCTCTCTAAAAATCAATGGAACAATATCCTCAGGTGAGGATTAAAAACGAACAAAAAAGACATG